GGCCGCAAGCCGCACCACCAACAGAGGGTCGTCTACCCAATCAACTCTCCCCGCAACATCATCCGCATCACATTCTCCCTCCGCAGCATCGTCGCAGTAATGTGACACGTCCCCTGGAATTACTGCAGGTATCCACCGACCAAGATATGGTCGCCTGTTCCGGCCTGAGTGCAAGTTTGCCGGTACATGTAAATCCCCTACTGTGTGGATTGCCTGATCGGGAGGATACAAAAGTCGGAGATGGGCAGGTTAGTGTCAAGTTAACAATACACCTGGAGACATTTAAACTTTGTTGATGGAAACAACAGTTATGTTGATCATTTATCCGTGTAATTATGCAGTACCTCAGATAAGTTCTTAGATCCTGCCGTAAATGTCGTCCTCGTCGTTTAGCAAAATATAGTGATGCCTCGGACTTACTTAATTTCTACCAGTGTGTGCAAACTAAACACGAATGGGTAAGGTGAAGAAAAGCAATGGTAATAATGTTTATCACTCAAATTACACAGGAAAACTCCTCAACCTACAGTGGTAATTGACATATACACCGAGACTAGGAGGACATCAGAAACAAGTTCTGAAGGCTAGTAAGCGCAAATTAGACGTTTGTCTTAGTCTTTGATTAGATGTACGGTCATTCCTTTATAGATGAAAATGTTGAATCACTGAATTAGTATGCTCTGAGGACAACCACGCTTTCCTAATCCTTCGAGCTTTTTCTCCTCATTCATTCACCATGAATGTGAAAGTGATATAGGAGTTTTGTCAGTCTAAAGGCTAAGGTTCCACCTTCATCGTTCAAATCGGAATCCCCACCTACCTCAGTTGCACCTACCGGTAGTGGATCCGCACTCCCAATGGGACGGAAAAACCCCGTCTTCTTCCCGTGACAGTGTTCAAAGTTAAATGATTGTGTTTATGTTTAGACCGTATCTTTGTTTTGTTGGGCATCCGAACGGCTTCCTTGATTACTTTCCGCTTTTGATCGACTCGTCTGACGATTAGTTGAACTGAAAGGTGATGATAGAGCTGCGCTTTGAAGGCCGATTCGCATCTGTCACGTACATTATGTCATGGTTTCCGTTTACAGCGGCTTTGTTGTGGTTGATTGGTAAATGTAGGTATACTCTGGCTGGTATCAGAGTAGGGCGCGTATCCACTGATGCTGATCAGGGAGAATAGCAGTCTTATGTGAATGCTAGCCAGAGAAAG